ATACCTCGGCGGATTCTGTGATTTCACTCGGAATCTCTTGTGATACTTGTGACCTCGTGATACTCGAGACACTCGTGATACTGAACAGTCGCCGGAGCTAAACTCTCTCATATATATAGCCAGCGCTTGGACGGGATAGAGAATACCTTATCGAAGAGTTAGTTTCATCCATTGCTTAGGAAATGCTAGCAATGGCAAACTGTTATTGCGTTTCCATGGAAGTATACGCTAACTGTTCTAGCGTTACAATTGAAACGACTGCTGGATTCGGAACATGTGGCAGGTTTTTACATGTTTTTACCTGTCACGGGTGTGACATCTACATAATAGGCACACAGAAACACGTGGATGTTCGAATGCAACGTTGTATCAAAATTTCGAAGCGATCGGTGAAGAAGTTTCGGAGATCTTCGGTAAGACTCAAACAAACATTTACGTTTTTATTTATATAGATTGTGATTATATACCCATGTAATTAGTCATCTCTGTATTTTGTGATTTGTAAATAAAATCCATTTTGTCAAAATATATTTTAGTCTTCTCCATGTCACTAATTATTCCTTAAAGAATAAATCAATACAATTTCAATTTCAACTTTCAACTTCCTCACAAAATAAGTTACAAAACTTCAGCCATGCAACAAACCTTCCTTGTCTGTTTCCTCTGCTACAGCAAATTTGTATGGCTTTAAATGAAGTAGCTTTGTCATCCTTTGCACTGTGACACTTCTTAATATTTTTGTTTCTAGTATTGGTTTCAACAGTAACCAGTATGTGCTTTGCTGTACTTTCTGCTTCACAAAGAAGAGAACACACTTCTTTGTTGTGCAGTTCTTACAATGTGAGAATGGCCTCATGAGTGACAGGCTGAATTGGAAATTAGTTGATTACAGTGTGATAACATGCTAACACTGCCAGGTAGGTTCCAGGATTTGTCAGACTCCATATCTTATGAATTTATGTTTTATTTTCTTTTTACAGGTGAAGCTGGTGGAAGTGGTGAGTGAGTTGTCTTATGTTACAATCTACCACATGATGGGCAACTCTGACTTCCATAGCATTTGTGTTCCTGAAGGATGAAGATGTGAGAGTGAGACATGCTGCAGCTAAAGAAATTGTAAGGTAAGTGTCTATTGGTGTAATGTGATGGAGGGCTGATTTTCTAATATTCTCAAGAACTTGGCTTCACCATCATTACGATGTAAACAGGTTCTATGAAACACAGACAAACTAGCCCACCACAAAACAAAGTCATCAGTTATTAGAATGGTAACAGGAAGAATTATAAAATTAGTATTGTCATGTAACTATTAAATCATTGTCCATTTCATGGTAAAGGCACAATAAATATGTTTCTGCTGTAACAGTAACCATGCAATAGCCAAAGAATTGTTGGAAGCAGTTTCTTTATGTGGTCTGTGCTGAGATTATATAAGGTAAACTAATAGGAATTTTTGGGAGGTGAGAATGTGAGAGACTTGCAGCCATGAGTTAGTTGTGAGGGGGTCCCCAACCAGCGAGGACAGGAGCCGTTGAGTCCAGAAGCTGTAGAAAGAATCCGTGTTGTCAAAAGTCACTACCAAGTAATGGGAATATGAAGACATAACAAACTGAGAAGATTTTGTGTGTGCTATAGTGAGAAGTCAAGTGTATGAATTAGCAAGAGCATCATAATTGCTTGTAGCTACAATTTTTAAGTGTTCAATAAATCCAGTTACCAATCCAAGCTCCATATGTAGTCACTAACATGTGGCAATATGTAACATGCATTTTTCAATTGTAATTTGGATCATAATATATAAATATTTGGGATATATACTGTGTACTGCTTTTACCTACATATAAGGTCCCTTTCCTGATGATGGAGGTAGTGTGTTCACCTGAAATGTTGGTATTCACCTGCTGGACTATAGAGAGTTGTAACCCAGAAACCCAAGATACAGAAAACCCTTACTTAAACAGGAAAGTGTTCGCTTCCCATGGAGTTACATTATTAGCTAATCAAATTGTATAATTAGTGATTTAAGTTGCTGGAACACCTGTATGAAAATCATGCGTTATGAAAGGTTATAGTAAATTCACACCTATATTGACTCTGATTCTTATTTTATTACTCTATGTTATGTGATATTTTTAGATATGCACTGTAATCATTATTTCTATGTCCAGTTGCTTAACCACTACATCGGTAGATGTGTAGCTCTAAGCTAAGCGTTAGCACTAGATTGGTCAGCCTCACACTCCAGCTGCTTTACCACTGGGGAAGCAGCCCTCAGTACCCACTGAAAATGGTGCTAGGGTGTCAGTGCAGGTGGTAAGAGGCAAATTACTGACCATGCTAAGAATCAAACCCCTGTTACTGATTTGTTATGATGTAAAGTAAAGAGTTATAATATGATATTGTAAACTGTATTATGAGCATGTTCTTTTTAAAATAGTTTGATTATTCACTTCTTAATTGCTTGCCATTTTGTTCTCTTTGTTATGCAGACTTGTTCCAAAGCTGTTCTTCCCTTTGGACCACCCACAACAGGATGCAGCAACAGTGAAAGGAGCGGGCTACAGTGAACAGTTTCTGTCTGAAATGTTGGCACCTTCAAGTGATTCTAGTGGTTCATCTGCTTTCCTGCAGCTTACAGATATCAATAGTCTGCCAGCTCCGTTCAGTATTCACTCCCCTTATGCAGTGTCTGGAAACTTAAATGGCTGTTGTCATCGAAACATCGACACAGCTCTCTCTAGAATTGTGTCCCTTTTGTCCAATTCTTTACTTATGTCTTCCAGCAAATATCTCACAGTAAGTTTCATTCATAATGTTTGAAATTACATGACTCATTTCACCAAACATTATGGTTGAGTGAGTAGTATGCTCAGGAACTCTTGGATTCAGATCTTGAAATCTCAGCTCAGAGACCGCATATCCTGACTGAGATCTTACTGCAGTTCTCCATCACTTCATACATATTATCACATCTCTTAGTGACTATAGAAGGTTTGGGATTGGTAATTGGATTTATTGAACTCTTACAAATCCGTGACTCTAAGTAATTACAACCGTTTCACTAATTCACACACTTTACGGTTCACTAAAGCACACACTTAAGTCTTCTCAGTCTGCTTTATCTTCACCACTCTCCTGATAATGGCTTCCAACATCAGACGTTCCTCTTCCTGTGGGTTGCCTCAGCTAACAGCAACAACTCACAGCGACTGTACCATACCAGTCCTCAAGCTAGTGATATTCAACCTTTTTTTGTCTGCTTACCCCCAGATCTAATTTCTTCTCAACTTTTTATCCCCAGAGTTGTTGGTGTATAATTGAAGTTATACAGTCTATAATCTACACCTAAAATAAATTAAATAAATTACACCTGAAATAATGTATTAAATAGTAAGTTTAAAATGAGAAAAAGGAGAATCAAGTTATTAAATAACAAATATAGTATTGTCTATCATATAAAAATGAATAAAGGAACTAAGGTATTTTAGCAAAGCAAAATTATGTGGTTAAATATTTTATCAATTATTAATGTGGTTCTGACCTGTTAATGAGATGACTTAGCTTGTTTCTGGCACTCCAGCACCTCAATTTGGGGAAGAATTTTAATTTTACATACCCAATATGTTGTCTTTGCGTATGCCAGGTTGAAGACGGTTGCTCTAAGTAACTCACTAACCCGGTTGGTTATATTGCTTCTGGGCTTCACCAGCACAGTCATTCCTGGCTTCAGTCTCCTCGAGATCCATGACCAAGATTTTTGGGAACTGACCCCTCTTCCTTATGCTTATTAAGTAATGCAGCTAATAAATTGACATTCTTTTCCTGTCTTCAAAAAGCATACAAGAATTTACTGGGTATCCCATCTAAGCCCGTTGTTTCACAATTTTTTAAACATCTGACCTACTGCTTTATTTCCTCAATTGTAAACTTATCACACAGCATATCTATATATGTTTGCACTAAATGAATATTTATACTGTTATTTACAATTAATATTTATAGTTAGAAAACAAGAAAGTCACACCCACAGTTTGTAACATCTTTCCAGAGAAATAGCAGTAGTTGTACATAGTGCGCAATTTTAAGCACCCATATATGATAGCAGACAATAAATCATGCTGTTACATCTTGTTGCTCTCATGGGAGCTACCTAATGTTATTTTTGTTACTTCCACATGGATCGAATGATAAGTGAGAATCAGTGTTCACTCTACTCCTGCTTTATTAAGACACCGAAATTTGATACAGAAGTATGCCTTATATATACATACAGGCTTATAACCATAGTAACACATAACAGTATAAAGATACTGTTGTTACACACATAACTGTAGTTACACATGACAGTAAACATCACTTATGTAACAAGACATAACCTAGTTCTAAAATTGTTTAGTACGATGTTGCCAACTCTAACATTATATTTCAGTATTTGAGAGTTGCCAACATGACACCTAAGAGGTTACAGAAGCATGACAGTAAATAATGTTGTATGTGCAAATAAAATGCAAGATGCATTGCTCATTTTTCTCCCTTGTATGGTTGCAGTTTGGTTATTGTGAAGCTTTGGCTCTGTTGTCTTCACAGTATCTTACAACAGTGTACCAAAAGGCATGGAATTATTTTCTAAGCAATAAAGGAGATGGCCAAAAACCTGCTATGAAGAGAAGCACAAGGTTAGTATGTGTCTTCTTTTCATTTATTTATTCTTATGGTTCACTGGCTGAGAGAGGAAGTAATAAGTTAATTATGTGAATTATATAGTGGTGGGAGATAGTAGTTATGAATTATCCTGAGTTTCTTTTCCATTGTTTACCTGTGGGTACTGTAGAAGTTTATTAGGTTGGCCAGTCTCAAGGCTGATTTCACTATGCAAGCAAAGATACCGGTATTACTTAGTTTCTAGTCTTTGATGATCTGGACTTAAATTGCTCCATCTGTGTATTTCTCTCATATATCACAGCTTACTATTGTTTGGAATTAAGCACTTTTCTGATTGCTATTATATATATTGGAGAGATTGTTCAGCAGTAAATTCTGACATTTTTTATTATATTTTAAACTACTAACTTGAGGTTGTTTTTGACAGGTACAGCTAATTTTCCTCTAAAGCATGGCAATTTGAGACTAGAATTGTAT